GTAATAAAAGAAATTTTGCATTTGTTAAGAAGACAATTTATGGTGGACGTGAATATACAGATTGCAAAATAAAGTCTTCATTTAACCTGTTTATATACAATACAGGACCACACTAAACTATTCAGTGGGATTTATCTATTCCCTTCACTTGAAACAATAAATAATAACATACCCAAAAAGAATGTGTCCTACCCTGTCTCATGGAAAAATAAATTTGTATGTTTGAAATGTAAAAGAAAAGTAATCATAAAAGTGAAGTAATGTATGTATCAATCTGTTTTTTTTTTAACTAAACAAATTCCACAGTGGTGAAACATTAACTAAAATTCAGATAAATCACACAGTGCTGACACTATTAGTTTATTTTTTTTAGAGAGAAAAAGGAAGAAAAACCTCAATTTGTTTTTCCACTTATTTATGCATTCATTGGTTGTTTGTTGTGTATCTCCTGACTGTGGCTTGAATCCACAACCTGGGCATATTGGGACAATGCTCTAACTAAATTTCCTAGCCAGGGCCCATCTGTCTGTGATCTATAGCCAAATTTAAAGAAAAACTAAATGAAATCCTACACATTAATACAGCTATGAAATAAAATTATAGCACTTTACTAAGAAAGGGGTGTAAGGCTTTTTAACAGAATGTTTTATATATGATTTTTGCCACTATGCTATAAATTTCTGGCTAATTTCTTTACTGTATTAACTAGGGTTATTTTCTAATTAAAATAATCTTAGATAACATATCACCCAGCATTTATTATAACATGTGAGTTGCAGTGCTTCACAAAACTGAATTTCTTAAAATGGGGTATCTTACTGGAAAAAAGAAAAAGAAAAGAAGCCCTACATTCTCTTAACTTTAAAACTGGTGAGGGGACATAGATTGAAATGTTCCGTATTTAGTTTTAGAGATCGGGCTTGTTAAGTACAATACCATGCTTTTAGATGTCTATACTGTGAACATTTTTCAAAAACATTTTTTTTATAATTCAGATGAAATGCAGTACATTTTTATTTGAACAATAAAATAACATTTATTGAGACCATACAGGTCTTTTTTTTTTTTCACCTTTTTGAAAGTATGTGGTATGTATACTTGTAGATTACCCAGTGTATTTCTTTTCTCTTTTTTAAGAAGTGTCCTAATTCTTGGAAATAACACTTAAGTTAGTTCACACTTTAAATCCCCAAAAGTTAATATCCCAGTTATTGTATAATCTGTTTATATGAATCATTTTTTAAAATACTTCATTTATTTATTTTTAGAGAGGAGGGAAGGGAAGGAGAAAAAGAGGGAGAGAAACATCAATGGGTGGTTGCCTCTCATGCATCTCCTATTGAGGGTCTGACTTGGCGAGCAACCCAGACATGTGCCCTGACTGGGAATCGAACCAGTGACCCTTTGGTTCACAGGCCAGCGCTCAGTCCACTGAGCCACACCAGCCAGGGCACATACTAATCATTTTATTTTAGAGGTGATTTTGTTTACCTCTACCAACAGAATCCTCATTTCATGCCTTTCAAACATATTTGAACATATATCAGCAAACTTTGTAAAAAACATTTTAAAATCAAGGTTATTTTGAACTGATTAAAATGCCAAAGGAAAACCAATTCATTATTTTAAGTCACTATAATATAGTCAGTATTCTATTCACTAGGATAAATGAACCTATCCAGATCTTTCTATAATGTTAGTGTTTTGTATACTTAGGTAATAATTCAGAATGCTCCTGAGTCTCTGAAAATATACATCCCAAACAAATCACAACACTCAAGGAGCTAGTACTATAAATCAACCAGGGTTAATTCCAGGCGACAAGAATTGTAACGTGACTGCATCATTAGTGCTGAAAATAACGTACTATGTTTACACACCTTGATTGATTGCAAATATACCATCACTTGTAGGTAAGTGAATATGGAGAGAAATGGGCACTGTGGCTTTTACAAAAAGAACGTCTTCACAATGCCACAGTTGGAATACAGGACTCATAGATGTAAGAGGTTTCATACTGCCTCTAAATGAGTCACACTTTCAAAAGGTGTAAAAGCCAATTTTGCATGTTCAGTGTTCATAAGAACCAGTCATAAGAAAGCTGATAAAAGAGGATGTTTTTCAATAAAGAGAAAAGTACCGACCCAAGAAAAACACATCTCTTTTGGAGGGCGATCCCTTTGTAGTACAGGCTTCCCCTACTAGGTGGGTGTTCTAGGAACCCATCTGTATTTGTTTTACCACCTGACCTTGTGAGGCTGAGTTAAGCTTCAGTGAATTTTTTTTTTTTTTGAAGATTCAATGCATCTGCCCATTTCATGATGGGTGATTTACAAATGCACCTGCCCACACCACACTGAGTGTTCCATTTTTGACCAAAAACGGCTCGACACCCATGGTCCACCCTCCCTGTTCACCAGATCAAACATTGTGCTGATTTAGAAGAGGTGACCAACAGCAGAAACACTAAGTCATGAAAATTGAGTTCAAAAACTGTTTTGAGGATTGGAAAAAAGTGTCCTGATAGGTGTATTGCATCAAATGGACAACACTTTGAAGGTTACTGGAGTTTAAACATGTAAGAATAAATACACAATTTTTATAAATTCCAGGGTTTTTTGGTGCCCCCGTCATGAGCTAATCCTACATTAGGTAGCTTTGGTTTTCAAAAGTAACACCTTAAAAATATAAATCTGATTCCAGAGGTAACTCAAAGTTTCTGGTGAAAGTAATCTTTTAAAGTGTCCATTGTAAAACATTACAGAAAGCATATCTGGGAAATGAGAAGTTTAAATGACTGAATGTGTACACACAGTTTCTAGGGGCCTATGTTCAAACTTTGAGCGTCATTCCTTTGTTGTTCAGCACTGTGTTGGGTAAGAATTTCGGGAGCTATAGACAAAGTTAAATATATAATCTTTTTAAGGAGCTTAAAGTTTAAAAAAATAGTCTGAACTTAAAAATGTTTATGTTGCACAAGTTCATTTGCAACGTTTTAGGGTTGACATGATTTGGTTTGCTCAAAATTTGATCATTTTATACTACACTCACAACTCAAAAGACGAAGGACACGGAGGGAGTCACACTGCTGGATGACTAGTGCGTACAAATACGTCACCACCCACACTTTTGTATTGGGCTTTAGTGTTGACATTTCCCCCCAACATTCTCTACAACTAGATACCATCCCTACTGTATGTTTACATACATGAAATAAAAATATTCATAATTTTTAGATCACAATATTCAAAGAAAACAATGGAATAATCAAATGAGAATATGTGACCTCAGTAGCAGAAAAGGTAGACCTACACTGTTCGAAGAGGTCCCAGACCTGACCCCTGTGCATGATACAGCTCCACATTAGGAAGGCTTTGGGATCTGAGCAGTAGCTTGAAAACTCTTCATTCGTTGATAGATTTTGATTACCCTGAATTTATTCTTATCTTTGACACTACTGCTGATGTCCTCATGCCCCCAGCCCCAGAAAACTTGATTTAGATTATATAAATAGTGAGTGCATAAATAACGATTTTTTGTTTTAGGATATTTTTAAATCAATTCCCTCTCTCCTGGATATTAACAGGTCAGAGTACCTAGGCTTCAGTGACACTGTGTAAGGACCAACTCCCAACCCCAACAGTTCTCTGGAAGGAGGGGAATGCAGCGGAATTCCCTTCTCTCTCAATCTATAGGCAATGATATTTTCATTTAAAATCTTTCCACTTTTACAACAGCAAAAATTTGTTTTAAAAGACTGCAAAAACATTTCCCCTTTAATCAACAGCAGCAACCAGTTGCTTCTTTTTAACTTAGAGATTTTCAACTGGTGTGAGGCACTCTGATGTGCCACAAGAATGTTTAAAAGATGTAATAACGTGATTAGTCAAGGGCACTGGCTTGCTTTCCTTAGTCTGCCAAATTTAAAAAAAAAAAAAAAAATGACACCAGCCAGCCAACACAACAGTAATTGAGAATCAAAATTATACCTACTTTTTGTCAGCAAAAAATATATGGGTGTTTTTTTTTTTTTTTTTGGTGTGCTGCAGGATTTTAGATATTTTTATATAGCACAGGTTGGGATGTGTGTTTAATCACATTTAAAAATTCATGTATGAATTTACCAACTTTTAGGAAGATGACTTACAGGATTCAGAGGAGGGTATCTGGTACCAGTTGCTGTAACTTGACATTACCCCAACATCTGTCGCAGGCTTGTCTTAATCAGCATTTTCATTCCATGAAACACAATTTGGCCTCTTAAGTCTAGGGGTGACCCTCCTATGGAAACTACATGTCATTCCAGTTTACTGTTGCCAGCAATAATTAGTCCATGTAGACAATGTATTATTGCTTTTAACCAAAAGACGCCTGATGTTGCTATTCAGTCTAAAGCTTACGTTGGATACATGTAAACGCATGTGCTGCCAGTGATAATTCAGTTAACTCAGGAAATGGTACTTTACCCTAAGAGCGTTATTATAATGAAGGATAAAAGGTAAGAAACTTTGCAAGTGAGGTTGAAATTGCTAACTGGAACAAACTAGCCCATTAAATATTCATACCACGGAATGAACTGCGCCTAGTGCATAAAGGGTAGTAATGATTAAAAAGGCGTCGGTCAGAAATCCGTGCCTCAGTCCCAGCTGGCATTGCAGCCACGTGTTGACTCTGGCAGTATAATCTATCTCGGTCCCTAGCGGAAGCAATCAGGGTGCACTTAAAGAGGTGGGGGCTACCCACTGGCCACGAAAACCACCCACAAAGGTTAATCCACAACAAATGATACAATTAGTTTAAGTAAAACAGAATGAAAAGGCACCGGGTAAAGACCGCCTTTACAAAGAAACAAGCCCCGCCCCTGCCTGAGCAATCCCCGTTCTGTCTCTGAGGAGGGCCACGCCAGCAGCGCGAAAGTTTCATGTGTGCGCAGTAGGCCAGTCCAGTGCCGCGTGGAAAAGGCGGGACTTCCCCATCTCCTACGTCATCTCCAGTGCGACGCTAGCGTCACTGGCTTGACTGGGAAGGTCAACAGTGGCTGCAGGCAGCCCAGCGCTCAGTTCGTAACCAGGGTGCCGACGCATGCGCCTGGCGGCTCCGACGGGGCTAGAGTCGCAGCTACGTTGGGAAGCCCGCGTTTTGGGCTCAGCCCTGGTGCACACATGCTCAGCCCTGGTGCACACGTGCTCGGCCGGCTTGGCGGTAGGTGGCTGCGGCCGCTGCCTGTGCTGCATCTCGGAGTGCAAGGCCCGCAATTTGCGCGGGCCCCAACTGGCGGTGCCGAGCGCTCCGTAGTGCGGGTGTGGGTGGCGGCTTCAGTCTCTGCAGTTAGTCCGAGCGGTGCGGGCGGCTGGTATGAGGCTCTGGCCACGTCGGCGCCCGTGCAGGGCGCGGAGGATCTGTTGCTCGGCGCACACAACGCCACGGGCTTGCCCTGGTGGAGCACCGTGGTACTCACCACCGTGGCCCTGCGCAGCGCCGTCACGCTGCCCCTAGCGGCCTACCAGCACTACATCCTGGCCAAGGTGAGGGGCGCCGACCCGCGCGTGGGCCCTATGCGTCTGCTTAAGATACTTAGATTATTTCCGGAGTGCTTACTGGTAATTAGTCGTGACCATTTCCTTGTTAAGAAAGTTAACCAGCGTTCGATGTGTGAAATAAGAGATGTTTAATGACACAAGTACCTGCCATTTCATTTATTCTACTGGGTTTGCTCAAAGTGTAAGTGGTTACTAAGCTTGTTAGAGAAGTGAATCAGCAGAAGTATGGTGAGACCTGTGAAATTACTGTTTTTGAGGTTGGAACAGATGGTATGTCTGCAGCATATTTAGTCCCTAAATATTTCATCAGATCGTTTTAGGAAAAAAACTGTTAAGCTAGCAATTTGCACACTTGATTCCCTATTAAGGCCGTTCCGCCTACAAGCCTGTGTTGGGTTAGTCTTAGTCACTCAACTTTCAGTGCTTTGTTATCTTTTCTGTGGAATTAGGATAGCAGTACCTTCCTGCCCTACTTCACGAGGCTCTGAGATCAAATCACGTAATACGGGTTAAAGTGCATTAAAAGAAAGTATTATTCAAAGGTGAGACTTAAGGAAAAATGGCTTCAATATTTTAAGATTATTGCCATTAGGGAAAAAAACCTGTGGATGCAGAACAGAAAGGGATTCATCAGCATTATTAGATGTGAGATAATTTAAAGAAAAAATTAACGCAGGGCAGATATAAATGCAAAATTTGGAGGACTCTGTAGCTGTCACAGCATATAAAAGACTTATTAGACGGCTTATTTTCTCAGTTTATCTAGGAAATCCAAGGATGAAACATAAAAGTGTAGGGCGCAGTTCTCATTTATTCCTTACAGTAACTGTGAAGTACATAAAATTACGCGTTTTGTATATGAGGAAACAAGATCTTAGAGGTTAAGTAACTTGCCCAAGATCACAGCTAAGTGTATCATCTGGAGTTTGAATTTGTTTGTAACTGAGCATACCCTAAGCAAATTAACCTCTTATGCTTACACTTAAAGTTTCTTGACATGCTCAGTAAACTACATCTTTAAATGTGTTGAGGGAATAGAAAAGAAAATTATGAATGGTTATAAATGAAGATCTTTTATGTGCTCATAACAAATTCTACATTTTTTTAGCTAGGTGGAAAATTTGCAGCCAGAAATAAAAAACATTGCGCGGCATCTTAACCAAGAAGTTGCAGTCCGTGCAAATCAGCTGGGTTGGTCCAGAAGAGTTGCCAGGTAGGCGGATTCCGTGTATGGAAGACCATGAAAATGTGTGTATATAGTGTGTAAGTAATGATATTCATTTGCAACATATAGTTCTTTTAATATTTCAGTAATTTTTGTGACATATAGTTTTATTATTTGTATTTTACTTTTTTAACTTATTGATTTTAGAGAGTAAGTGGGAGAGAGAAACATCAATTTGTCGTTCCATTTATTGATAAATTCATTGGTTGATTTTTGTATGTGCTGTGAGCAGGGATTGAACCTGTAACCTTGGTGTATAGGGACAGCACTCTAACCAACTACCCAGCCGGGGTATGATAGTTTATATATTGGGCTGAAAGCAGAGAAATAGAGAAAGAAAGACAAGAAGATTAAATTTCTTATTCTTAAGGTTCCCCAGCTGACTGAAAAAGATCTGCAATCAAAAAATGACTGGATTAAGTACTATAAAAAGGTTTTGTGCAAGAAGTTGGGTTATTATGGAAAGTGAGGGAAGGCTTCACAGGATGAAGATACTATGCCAGTCTGTTGGGCTTTTACTCAACGGATGATACAGGCTGTTTACAGACTTGACCTTTTTGAAAAGATACTGTCGGTGATAGTCCACAGGAATAGGGGAGCAGAAATGCGAATGCCATGATAGAAGCCAGGATGCTGTCATCCACTGTATTTGCCCTGTGTGCTGATATGCCTGGTGTCTTAGAAAAGCCTTGCCCAAGGGTGCTTGGCCATGCTGCAGTCATCCACGGGGAACTTCGAGGTCCTCCCGCTTCAGTCAGCCTCAGCTACTACTGGCTTCCCAAATTCTGATCCTTACTAGACTGTAACACAGTGTTCACCTTTTCATAGCAATGAGGAAAAAATATATATTAGACACACACACACACAAGGTCTGTCTGGAAAAAGTCCAGCCATTGTTAATATAATGAGAACGGTTTGTGTGACATTGATGTGACCTGGCAGCCAAGGAAAGTGGATTGGGATGCACATGCATGAGCGATGACACCTTCACTGTACTAGTCAGTGGGGGTGGTAGGTGCCATTGAGTGAGCATGTGTACTGTGTGGCTGTCACATTCAAAATGACTGAGCGAGTAGAGCAATGAATCTGCCTTAAATTTTGCAAGTAAGTTTGATGTAGAAACTTCCTGTTATTCAGAAGACCATAGCTGTGGGCAACTGCTTATTGGCAGCTTTATCATGACAACACGCCCACTCGTGCATCATGTCTCGTGTAGAGTTTTTTGGCAAAACATCTAATTATCCAGGTGACTCAGCCCTGCTATGGCCCAGATTTTATGCCCTGTGACTTCTGGCTTTTCCCAAAACTAAAATCACCTTTGAAAGGGAAGAGACTTCTGACCATAGATAATATTCAGGAAAATAAGACAGAACAGCTGATGGCCATTGGGAAATTGTGTGAGGTCCCAAGGTGCCCTCTTTGATGGGGACTGAGGTGTCATTGTCCTACATACAATGTCTCTTATATCTTAAATCTTTTTCAATAAATGTCTCTTTCATATTACATGGCTGGATACCTTCTGGACAGACCTCGTTTATGGGTATCCATATATTTTTATCTATATAGGTGTAAATTTGCCAACTATCTTCAATATGAAATTGCTTCTCTTTATTTAGTGTTAAAAAGACCTGACATTTAAGTCATTGCGATAGCTTAATGTCTTTACTCGATAAAAGAAAAAGTTGGCAAACCTATAGTTTTAAAGTTTTAGTGATCAGAGAAATCTCAGAACTATCGTTCTAGGCCAAAAGAACAGATTTGTAGCTGCTCACCTGGGTTATAAATGCAGCTGAGATAAATCTGTGGTACCTGCTTATGCAGCAGTGGCAGGACGATTGTCCAGCTACATCTTTATGAAGATGGGTGGCACATTCTTGGAGGACACACCTGAAGGTTTCCTGCATTTTCAGTGGAACTTAGTCTTGACAGGTGAAAGGGAATTTGCCAAGGTAGTGGGTTGTCCACACAGATGGTATGATAGTTTCCAAAGGCATGCTGATGTGGAAGTGTGATTTGTTGGATGACCTAAGTAATGCAGGCACTAGAAAATACAGGTCTCTATACAGGAATAACAGGAGAGAAAGATGGAAGGGTAGGCAGAGGCTCACTTACAAATGGCCTGGAATGCCGGTGAGTACCATCGAAATTCAATACACTATAATTCAATTAAATTCAATACACTATAATTTGATTAAATTAAGCAGACATATTGGATACCTTACCTTTGTACAAAAATATGCTGCAACAGATTTAGAGATGAGTAAGACCCAATACTTGACCTTCAGGAGACTGTAATCAAGAAAGTGAGGCTTAAGACAATATGGTTAACAGAAACGAAGAAAATCTGTGTAACAGAGAATTGAAGAATAGAGACCATTTTGACAGGCTAAGGACATACACAGTACAAAACAACACTGCTACAAAAAGTATATTTAGGAACCAAGTAATTGAGCTTAGCTATAGTGGAGGGATTTGAGTGAAATGTTCTTTCACTTTTAGTATTTTTGGTGGAAACCACAGTAATAGCATGTTGTGGAGTGTCCCTCGTTAAAGCCTAACTGGCCAAAGATCACTATGGACAAAGCCTATAGTCTGACAACATTAGATTTATTGCATTGTTACATAATTTGTATGCCTTGCTAGGGAATTTTAATAGAAGGCTTTATTTACCTTTTGTACTGTCAGCCCCTTAATGGAGCTAAGACAGTTAGAGATGCTACATAAATCCTTAGGCCAGTAACCACCACCTGGCTGTGTTTGTGCTGTGGTTGTGAAGCACCACGAGGAGTCAGATGACATCTCCTCCTTCCCCGCATCCCCTCTTCCCTCACAACAGGCTCACCTATCTGAAGAACATGCGGAGGCTTGTGTCCGAGCTGTACGTTCGGGACAACTGCCACCCTTTCAAGGCCACAGTGTTGGTCTGGATTCAGATTCCAATGTGGATCTTCATGTCTGTTGCTCTGCGGAATCTCAGCACAGGAGCTGCCCATGCAGAAGGTAGTGGTGACAAAAGTTTGTTTCCTGCAAAGAAGTTCTCTAGCACTGTCTTTGCACTCTTAAGAAAAGAGAAGAAAAACCCCATACTTTTCTTCATTAGAATACTTTAAGCATGCCCCTTATAAACGGTGTAAGTGCAAGCGGAATTTGAAGTGGGAGTGCAAGCAGCCTGTGTTGAGAGAACAAATCGAGGCGGGACAGCAGTGCCACGGCTTCCTGGAGGACACAGTCAGATGTTCAAGTTTCAAAATCTGATGTCCTGGCTGAGTTGTTTTTCCTTATAAACTTAAGGGAACAGAAAAGCTTTCATAGTTACAAGTGTAAACTTTAATTATGAAACAATATAATCTAGAGCATTTGATTTTTACTTTCACTTAAAGGCATTTCTCATGAGAAAGCAATCTGAATAGACCTGAAAGAAGCAGCCTCTGATTACATAATTACTTTAAGATGAAGTCTGAAAAGATTACTGCTACATATTTTTGTGCTCTCTACATCTGTGTTTTACAGAAAGCTGCTTGCTTCTTTCTCCACATGGGAAGGGCTCATTTGTGTTGTGGCATGAAAATAGCCCGAATAAAACCAATGCAAGTCTTCAGTGTGAGGGACACCTAATTCGAATTATATTACTGTGTTTTCTATACTCCCTTCTGCTGTTTTTAGAAATTCTTTATTATTTATAAAACTTTCAGCAGGTCTTTCTGTTCAGGAGCAGTTAGCCACTGGTGGGGCCCTGTGGTTTCCTGACCTCACTGCGCTGGATTCCACTTGGATTCTGCCTGTCTGCGTTGGTGTCGTCAACTTACTCATAGTAGAGGTCAGTGGTTTTAAGTAAGATTTGTTTGCCAGTTAACTTTTCAGGAGTTCTGTTGCTGCTGTTCTGACATCCACTATAAATGTGTTTGAGTCTTAATTCTAGTTTGTAGCTAGGATTAAGCATGTTTTCTAGTTGCAGATCAGCCGTTGGCAAACGGTTCCTTAAAGACCAATTCCTTAAACTGTTTGGGGGACAGAATGCTTATAATTAAAGTAAGAGAGCTGAATTAGAACAATTACAAAGTCAGGAGCAGAACCATAGAAATGAAGATCTCACGGAGGGTTAGCAACAGGGGAGTGGGAGGAGAAGGGGGGAGAAGGTACAGAAAATAAGTAGCATAGATGGTAGGTAGAAAATAGATAGGGGGAGGGCAAGAATAGTATGGGAAATGTAGAAACTAAAGAATTTATGACACATGGACATAAACTAAAGGGGGGAATGATAGGGGTGGGGGGTGCTGCAGGGTGGGGGGGAATGAAGGGGGGGGAATAGAACAACTGTAATGGCATAATCAATAAAATAAAAAAATTTTTAAAAAAAAAACAAAGTCTCAGCTTTAAAATTCTGTGATTCAAGTGCGCATCAATAGATGATTGAATTTTAAAAAACGGTATATTTACATGGTAGAATACTACATCCCCATAAAAAAGAAGGAAATCTTACTTTTTGCAACAGCATGGATGGACTGGGAGGTTATTATTCTAAGCAAAATAAGCCAGTCAGAAAAAGCCACTTACGTGAGTCTAATGAACAAAATAAACTGATGAACGAAACAGGAACAGAGGCATGGACACATGGAATAGACTGGCAGCTGTGAGTCGGGCAGAGGGACTGGGTGAAAGAAGGTGAAGGGATTAACAAAAGAACATACGTGCGTAGCTCACAGCCACAGGCTACAGTGTGGTGAAGGCCATATTAAATATGACCTCAGCTACATCTTACCATTACCCCATGCTCCTTTATTCAGCAGTTGTTGGGAAGCATGCTTTTAATTTCATGAAGAGCTGCTCTCAGACTCTGAGTAGAACATAGACTCTTTGAACTGGAAGAAACCTTAGAAATGATCTACCTCCATTCAGAGCTCATAGGCCTTATGTCCACTGGTCTCAGAAATCTAACACACCCGTTATTTTTTTTAGATAAAACTGAAGATGATATTGTAAGGTGTTGGTTGAAAGTCTCTTGAGGAAAGACTCCAGTCTAAGTGGGGTCTGAGTGTATTTCCTAGGAGCACGTAGCAGAGTCTTATGCATGTGGTTGGTACTTAGTGAATATTTGTTAGAAGAAAATGATAAACACAAGGTCACGGTGGATTAATATCAATCCTTTAGTCTTTCCTTTATGCCATCTACTAAGCCAGTATGCATAAGTTTAACAAAAGTTTATTCTCAGTTCACATAACCATATTTTAGGCACGATTTTAGCAGGTTACATTCTTGAGCTCATTTAATTCTTAGACTAATCCTGTGGTGTGGGCACTATTGTTAAAAACCTATTTTAAAGTGGAAAAAGGGAAGCACAGAGAGATTAAGTAACTTGCGCTAAATCGCATGACCCCTAAACGCAGAGCTGCCGTGTGAACCCAGGAAGTTTGGGCCTAGAGTCTGTGCTCGTAGTCGTACTGTGCTGCCTCTTAAACAAGTAATTCGTGACTCAGAACTGCTTTCTCCAGCGTTGGTTCTTTCCCTTGGTCCATATAGCCAGATGACAGACCTTGGAGAGACCAAGGTCCTGCTTTATGCTGGGCGCTATATTTAAGTACTGAAAACGAGTAATGATTCATACATAGTACCTATCTTGAATGGACTTTCAATCTTACAGTCTTTTAGAAAAACGACTTATAAAAATTATGCCGTGACTCTATTTAATATAACTGAATCTCTCTCTTGTTGCTGCATTTAAAACTTCTGCATAATTGTTACATTTTATGAAAGATTCTGGGATGTTAAACTCATTTTCACCGGGGGCCACATCAGCCTCTCGGTTGCTTTTGAAGGGCCAAATGTAATTTTAGTGTATAAATGTAACTACTCCTAAACAGTTAAGCGAGAGCTAGGTGCTGCTGCCAGACAGAAACAAGGTGCGGGGCCGGATAAAACAAGGTGGCCCGCAGGCCTTGTGTTTGCCACCTGTGAGATAGATGACCAGTCACATAAATTTATCCTTGTCTTATCTTTATTCATTTTTGCTTTTATTAAAATAAAAGTGGAGGCTAGTCGAAAATCAGTTTGTGTCTTACAGCTTTAATATGCATTTTAATAATAATTTTGTGTGTATATATTCTATATTCTACCCCTTCAGATTTTTGCTCTACAAAAAATTGGAATGTCTCGTTTCCAGACGTATGCTACGTACTTTGTTCGAGCGGTGTCCGTGTTGATGATCCCAGTTGCGGCAACAGTACCCTCAGTGAGTGAGCACCAGCACTGTTTGCTTGTTAACCTTGTCTGAGCTTAACTCAACTGGCTGGGTGTCTGCCTCTTCTATTGAGCTTTCTCCAACTGCTCAATCCCTTGCTGGTTTCCGAGTTTTCTCCGTAGTGACTGATTTACTGCCTCTGTTACCTCGTGACACTTAAATCTGGGGACTGGCCCTTGATGTGAATGTGTCTTCACCCTCCTACTAAATCAGACTCTTTATCTCTTTCTATAATCTCGCAAAATACCTTGCACAGTACTGTGAACAAAGTGTTCGCTCGGTTTGGTTAGTTGCTATATTGAATTTTTTTCTGTCTACATAGACAGGGCCAAGGAATTTAGCACTTAAAAAAGAAGCAGAACTTTGAGCTGAGTCCGTGTGGGTTCATAGGTAATATTGTTTAACCTTGGACAGCACTTTAGGAGATAGATAGGTACACTACTCCCTATTTATTTGTAATTAAACTTTGGTAGAAATAGAAAAAGAAATAGTTATGTTTTCAGTTATTTTGTATTTTTATAGTCTTTTGTTTATTTGTCACGAATACTTAGTGCTAAGAAGGCAAAGCTGTGTCAGGGGTAACTCAGTCTTTGCCCACACTGATACGTAGACCGCAAAGTAGAATCCATTTGTTTCTGATAATTAGGCTTTTATCAGTTTTTCATATTACTTAAGAATCTGAAACAGTGTTTTAGCATCAAAAATGTGTTTTTAAAGCTATCCCTTGGACATAATATTGTCATTATTCCTGTGTAAAGTAAGTCTCCACACTCCTAAACTAGACATCATATTGTCTGTGAGAATTAATGGAATAACATCGAGTACCTATTATAGTCATTTTTATATAAAAGTAGTGGTGAAATACCCTGTAAAATTTTTGAAAAAATACAGACTTACTATATTTCTGGGTAAAGATAATATCAGTTATAACTGAGGAGACCCCCAGCTCAAATAAAAGAGCAGTGAAGTTTCAGTGATGGGCTGGGTTAAAAGTGAGTAACAGATCTAAAGTAGTAACTTAAGTATCCAAAAGTTCATTCTCTTAAATATAGAACTTCAATTAGGCAGTTTAGTGTAGAATTCTCGGGGCACCCGAGAGGCCCAGCCTGCTTCTCTCTCAGTGCGCCATCACCCACGGTCTGTGATTTCTGTCCGTAAGGCACATGCTGGCCGTGACGGCCGCTCAACTCATCACCCGCCCCACCAAACACTTGTGCTTACTTCTTAGTTACGTGGCCACATCTAACTGGGAGAGTCTGGGAAGTCTTTTTTTTTTTTTTTTTTGAGATGGCAATATGAAAGTTAGGACTTTATTAGTAAGGAAGAAGAATGATTTTTAGTAGACAGTTTGTAGTCTGTGTAGTTGAATTCAGGATACTTGTTGCTTAGTGGATAAATCAGATGATGATAGGTAATGTCTAATCAACAATGACTTTGTGCCAGACACTGTTTAAAGTGGTTTACATATAGCAGCTCATATAATTCTCCCAACAGTGCACTGAAGTAGGTGCTATTATAATCTCTACTTTAGTGATGAGGAAACTTCAGCGCAGAAAGGTTAAGTAAATCACCCAAGGTCACTCATCTTTTAAGTGGTGGAGTCTTAGCCCATCCAGGCAGCTTGGCCTTTGCTCCTAACTACAAGCTAATCTACCTGTGATGGTTTGTTACTTTCTCTCCCTAAAAACTTGCTTTTGGAACAAATATAAGAGCTTAATATGGGCCAAACACTGTGCTTACCACTCTGTGAATTAACTCCTTTATTCTTCACCACAATCTTCTAAGAGAGGTATAGTCCTGCACCCATTTTATAAATGAGGAAACCGAAACAAGAAAAATAACATACTCCAAGTCAAGTAAATAGAATGCAAACTCAAGCAGTTTAACTCCAGGACCTGGGTTCAACCACCACGTAGGTCATGCCTCGGGGGTCTGATTAGCTTCTTGTGCCAAACACATTTGGAACACTTGTGGCTACGGGATTGGTATTAGAGGCTGTGGAACTTCCTCACTGTCCTGTATAAATCAATCTGGGTGGTAGCACAAAAGAAAATTAAAGATGTTAAGACTATATGTCTCAAAAAAGTCAAAGGTAGTGTGTTCCTGACTATACTTAGCACAGTTACTGGAAGTGGTGGTGGTTAGAGGACTGTGTGGAGAAAAATGAGGTCTAGGAAGGCTAAGTTTGCTCTCGTAAATGACCGTGCCTCTGCGCCTTACCTCCAGAATAGCAGTTGGTCAGAACACTTGGTGGGGGGCATGTTTCAGTGCCAAAGGGAGGAGGGGGGCCTCTCCCAGGCCTCTGGGAGCTGCCTTCCGGTTTCTGTCGTGAATGCCTTGCTTTTGCTTTCTTTTCTGCTTTCGGTCTTCCTTTCATCTTTCCTTCTCACCTGATAGACCCGTCACAGGTACCTGATAGTGACCGCAGGCCCTGTCCCCTCCTGGTTACTTCTCTTGGCAGAGATTATAGTTTTCTTCGTTGTCACCTGCCTGCCTCTGGAGCTTGGTGTCCTCGGAGAATGGAGAGGTGTTAACACTCACGTCGGGTTTTTGTGTTTTTTTATAGTCGATTGTTCTCTACTGGCTGTGCTCCAGCCTCATGGGCCTTTCACAGAACTTGCTGCTGCGTTCTCCTAGATTTCGCCAACTTTGCCGAATACCCTTGACCAAGGGAGATTCAGACACTCCTTATAAGGATCTTTTTGCTGCCTTTTACGCCAAGTTTATTTCAAGGAAATGACATATTTTTCTGCAGTTTTGAAACAATTATAAGTGTCACTACCACTTTAATATCCTTCAAAGATTTATTCAGATATGATTAATTTGCCATTATTTAAAATCATTAACTCTGTGAAGTACTGTTGGTTAAAATATAATCCATTTATGTTTGACAACACTTAAAGTCTTTTAAATGCTAGAAATGTATTGGTACTATGTTCACTTGTGTCCTAAGAATATAAAAGTGTCTGGCTCTGTTTACAAAATTACAATTTGCTAGAGGAGACTAGAACTTTGGAAAACAGAAATAGATGCTCAGTGATGTCAAATTGTACTGAACAGTCTATACAACAAAAGAATCCAGTGAGGTGATTCTTAAAATTTGATTATAGGCATGTTTTAGCATCTGATAAAACTGTTTTTCTCTTCAGAAAATTCCTAAGACTCACAGCGAAGGGGCCATCATTGACCATTGCCCTGAAATCCCTCTGGTAACTCCTAGTTAAGAAATCTTATCTTAATGGAACATACGTTGACATTGGGTTAATGTGTGATTTTTAAGAATGGACTCGAGATACACGGTAGTGGAGAACTCCACGCACGCAAGGCAGCACCTTGTGGCGGGCGGCGGCCTCCCAGCCACGCTCCGAGAGAGTACGAGAAGCGTACGTTCCTTTTCCCGTCACCCAGGAGGTCTGGAATATAAAACAGGGAACTAAGTGCTGCTAGAGACCCAAGTGGAAAATCTAAGCATGAAGTTCTTTTAGTCAAAGGAGGATAAACCAGAAAGGGGCTACCTGTTATGGAGGAGATTTTATAAACTTGTTTATTTGGAAGCATTAAGTACTCCAATGGGTTAAAACTATGGTTAGATGTTTAATATAAGAAACAATTCACAGGTAATATAAATTGTGGACCCAGCTGTGTACTTGTTGAACTAAAAAATGTGATAAAATTCTGGTTGAGATTTTTAGGAATAAATTCGACAGACATTTGAGAAGATTATAAATTTTCACTGTATTGGAATGTGAACTAGATTCTGAGATTCTAGATTCTCCATCTTACGTTTTTTGATAAAATAAAAACTAAAGTGAAATTATTGATAACTAGTCATTTCTTGAGTAATATCTGTCATGTCTTAGCCATGTCGGCTGCCTGATTACTGCAGTTCACTGAGAGCACAGAGCGGCGGAGTCTGGGTTCTCTTTTCCTGACTCCCCAGGCCTGGTTGAGGACTGTCCAACTGAGAACACTGTGCTTCCCAGTACATACGGTCGGTCCTCTTTGGCAGATTTTGTATTTGACAGTTTGCCAATCTGCTAAGACTTATTTGAATGCCCAAATCAATACTCACAGTACTTCTGATGACATTCTTGGGCATACACAGAAGAGTAAAACATTCGAGTAACCTGAGGCACACTTTTCCCTCAAACAAGGCAGTGCTGTGCCTTCATGTTTTGTTTTTCAAACTGTAAATAAGTGTCCTTTTTCTTGTGTATTTAGTGCTTTTTTTTCTCATTTTTGTGCTTTTTTGTTAGATTATTTGTCTATTTAAAATGGCCTCTGAGTGTCATGCTGAAGTGCCAGCTAGTGAAGTTTCTTAAGGAGAAAATACCTGCATTAGATAAACTTCAGTCATGAGTTCTGTTGGCCATGCTTTTAATGTCAACGAGTCAATGATATATTGTATTGATGGTCAGTAAGGGTGAGCAGGGGCTTGCAGGGGCTGAACCCTGTAGGAACAACAGTACAGTATTCACGAGTTCTGTCTTTGTGCCGACTCGACAGAGTGCAGCTACCTCAAATAACTGTAATGTTTGCAATCAAGGAAACAGACAGAAATGTGTGTGCTCTTTTATAGCAAAAAGAGGAGAGGAAATTGGAGAAAAAGTTTGGATATCTCTGGAACAAATTGGCCCTTGGTATGTGTATCATCACTGTGTACTGATTCAGATATTTTTCTCATGATGGGGTGAGGGAATTCAGCCCACTTCCTTTGTCCTCAAAGATGTTTATCATTTTCTTAAAAGTGAAAAATAAGGGAATGCTTGACTCCTTTTCAAATAGGTGAATCTCCTTTCAAGAACATACTTTACCCGGTTTATTGTGATTCCCCTCGATCTCAAATTGTACATTTGTATCTTTTTTCCAATGTGTATTTTACCTAATTTCCTGTTGCGCTGCCATTTTCAAACTTTTTGAATTGCTCCTCAAAGGCATACAATAAATTTATTTGAGAATAAAAGGCCCTTCCTTCCAGATCTCAAAATAATTTCTGATGGCGGGGGGTGTCTGGGATCTTGAGATACACTCGTGTATAAAGACAAGTAGTTACAAACCCAGGTGAATCCATCGCTTGACTTCAGACTGGTGAATAATTTCTTTCTCCAGGCAGATTTTATAGTAAGTAGCAAGTCATATTTCAGAAATTCCAAGTCTGATCTTTGATCTTACTTCCCCAACAGTTAGAACGTGGAGCTCTTCCAGAGCCTGAGGTCAGGCGGGTGGGTACCCAGTGGGCACAGAGACCACGTGCTGTTAAGATCCCTTGACACTTCCTGTCTATTCCTTCTATCGTTGCTGCTGAGGGACTCCTGGCAGAGCTCGGTCCTGACCCTGCAGTTCAGAAAACCTTAGTGTTCAGGTGATGGCCATGATCTATTTATACCTTGTCTCCAGACGGTTCATTTTTTTATGGGTGTGTGTCAGCCCAAGAGTCAACAAAGGAGACTCACACCTGAATCAATTTATATCATACCATTATGACACTTCAGCTCAGAATTCTGTTAGAAGATGAAGTTGGTCTACCTGGAATAACCCCAAATTAGTCTTCCCAGGAACCATTGGGAGAGAAAACCTGAGCGGTCCTATTTTGGCCAAATGTCGTAAGTGGGAAGATGTGGCTTTACAAAAGAAAATTGAAATCCCTGATTGCCACTTATGCAGATAACCCAAGAGAGGTTGCAGAACTACATGAAAGACCTTGAAAGAAAAACCATACCTGCAGCAAAGCCTTTCCAGGTACCGTATCTTTAAAGCACTCAAGAGCTAAAGACCAAACCCTTACATTTCAGAAGAGGTTCAGCCAGTCCAGAACCACACTGAGGAAACTAGTTTCTGAGAAAGAATGGAAGAAAAATTATTTCCCAAATAAACCTGAGTGGCTTCTCTGTTTTTTACCTATACTTAAATCACCCATATAAAGGTCTGTCCAGAAAAAGTCCAGCTATGGTTAATAGAATGGTTTGTGTGACATTGATGTGACCTGGCAGCCAAGGAGAGTGGACTGGAACACACACGTGTGAACAGTGGTGACTTCACTGTACTAGTCAGTGGGGGTGGTAGGTGCCATTGAGTGAGCATGTGTCCTGTGGCCATCCCATTCAAAATGAGTGAGTAGAGCAATAAATCTTCATCAAATTATGCTTTAAGCTTGAACATTCTTCTGTGGGAACTATTTACATTATTCAGAAGGTCACGGCTATGGGCAACTGGTGATTGGCAGCTTCATTACAACACACCCACTCGTGTCACATCTTTTGTAGAATTATTGGCAAAACACCAAATTATCCAGGTGACTCAGCCCCCCTACAGCCCAGATTTGGTGCCCCGTGACTTCTGGGTTTTCCAAAACTAAAATCACCTTTGAATGGAAGGGATTTGAGACCATTGATGAGATTCAGGAATATATGGGGTAGCTGATAGCTATTGGGAGAAGTGTGTGAGGTCCAAGGTGCCTACTCTGAAGGGGACTGAGGCATCATTGTTCTATGTACAATGTTTCTCGTATCTTGTATACTCAATAAATGTCTATTTTTTTTACATCACATGGCCAAATACCTTCTGGACAGACCTCGTATCTTCATAGTTTCCTCTGAAGATCCCAGGAATTACTTTAAAAAAAAAAAAGAATCACCTTTTAAATTGCTTAAATAATCAGCCCTGGCTGGTGTAGCTCAGTGGATTGAGCACAGGCCTCCAAACCAGAGGATCGCGGTTCAATTCCCAGTGAGGGCACATGCCTAGGTTGCAGGCCAGTTCCCAGCAGGGGACACATGAGAGGCAACCATACATTGATATTTCTCTCCCTCTCTCCTTCCCTTCCCCTCTAAAGATAAATAAATAAAATCTTTAAAAGAAAATTTCACTTTAAATTGCTTAAATAATCAGATTAAGCCCTAAAAGCAACAGGAACAAAGACCCCAGGAAAAAATTAATAAAAGTAGCTTTTTTTTTCCCTGTAGGGTGGTAAGTGGAGTTACCACAGACTGCAAAATTTGAAATTCTAGGTGTGACATTTGAATCATGAAAGAATTCAGATTTCTGTAATAAAGCTAAATATTTAAAGCCATATGCAAATGTAAGACATGAGATTGCAGTTACAATGGTCTGTCACCACAGACACTTGTTTGTGTCTTTGTGAGCTGATTCTACCATAACACAGATAATCTGGAAATTATCCGAATGTATGGAAAATATTTGAAACTTATGGGTATAGTTCAAATTTGTAATAGCTGATTATCTAATAGATACATATTTTTGTGAAATCATTATCTGGCTTTGGGATATTTGAATTCCTGCAGTATTCAAATCATATATTTATCCAAAAATTTCTGAAACTTTTGACTTTTATACTATGTTTACACAATTAAATTTGATTATACCCTAAGAATCCTGAAACACCAAAGGAACCTATGTACCCCAAGTTCATAGCAATGTTATTTATAATAGCCAAGTGCTGGAAATAGCCCAAATACCCATCAATAAATGAGTGGATAAAAAAACTGTGGTATATTTACACAATGGAATTCTATGCAGCAGAAAGAAAGAAGGAACTCCTACCATTCAGGACAGCACAGATGGAATTGGAAAGCATTATGCTAAGTGCAATAAGCCAGACGCTGTTAGACAAATACCATATCATCTCATCTGTAGGTGGAACCTAATCAACCAACCAAACAAGCAAGCAAAACATAACCAGAGACATGGAAATAAAGAGCAAATTGACAGTGACCAGAGGGGAGGGGGCAGGGGTATAATGGGGGAAAAAGAGGAAGGATCAAGTCAAGGAACATGTATAAAGGACCCATGGGCATGGACAGTGGGGTGGGGAGAGGATTGAATGTGGGAGGTGGGGGATGAGCAGGGCAGGGGAGAGTAATGGGGAGGGGGAATGGAGACAACTGTAACTGAACAATAAAAAAATATTTTTATATATGTGTATATTATTTTTATTACATAAAACTAAATGGAATGGGGACAACTATAATTAATAATACTTATATTATGTATTTATGTTTTATTTAAAATATATAATTTTTATATATTCATCTCTATATACACCTATATAAATTTGGATTTTGAATATTTCAGGAAAACCTGCAAATCTTTACATGTATTGTTTGCTAGTCATATGTAACATGAAGGTACCAGATACGTCCTTGACAAACCTTTTAAAAATTGAAAAACGGTCCAAGGTCAAACCAATAGTAGTTGAGAGAGTCCTGTAGATGGACCTGTAAACCTTGGCATGACAATGTACAGTGTCAGTATGGGGAACTTAATATATTACAAAATTTATTATTTCGTGTCTTGGAAAAAGGATTAAAGTAATTTTTTAATTTCACCCGAGAATATGCTTTTGATTTTTTAGAGAGGGTAGCAAAGGAGAGAGAGTGGGGGAAAACACGGAAGTGAGAGAGGAACACTGATGGGTTGCCTCCCACGTCCCTAACCAGGGACTGAACCCGCAGCCGAGGCGTATCCCCTGACCAGAGATGGAACTCATGATCTTTCAGTTTACAAGACAATGCTCCAAACAACTGAGCCACCCTGGCCAGGGCAGAGCAAAGTGATTTTGAAAGGCTTAAAAGGTCAGGGTAACATTTAGCAAACTTTAAAATAATTACTGAATATAAGGGAGGCCCACCCCCCAAGATGGAATTTATTTATAAAAAATTATGTACTCTTAGGTGTATAAACTTCTGTCACCTTCAAAGTTCCATTTGATGCAATACAAATGGAGACATTTTGGCGGGGGACATTTTTTTGAGACAAAAAATATGTCCCCCCTATTGAGACATTTTTTCCACTACTCAAGACAGTTTTTGAGTTCATCAATTTGGATGCCTTTTAGTGTTTCTGCCATTTTTTGTTTCACCTCTTCCACATCAGGAAAATGTTTTCCTTGGACTTTTTTTCATCCAGGGAAACGAAAAAGGAGAGATCAGGTGAAAAGGGTGTGGAGGTCATGCTGTTTTTTGTACAAAACTGCTCAACACTCAACCTGGTGTGAGTAGGTGCACTTGTGGAAAGCTACCACCTTCTAAAGGTTCCAGTTACGGGCCGCGACCATGCCAACAAACAGCGAACTGAGCGACTGACCCGAGCTTCATCTATAAGGACGACACACGGCCACGGGGAGGGCGTAGTCGGCCAGCTCTCCAAATTCACCTGACTGTGATCCTGAGTCAAATCCAGTCTAAAAGCAGAAGGGATTATAAGAAAGATTTAAACTTCAGTCATTAATTGTGTTGCCCTTGTTAATATTACATTGTTATTCTGGTATTCATTTATTTTCAGGGAAAATATATAATGATATTTACTAGGTGTTTTAGTTTTCCAAGAACGCTGAACAAATTTCTTACGCTGCTTTTGCCAACAAGAGAAAAATATTGAATGTCTTTGTTGGAGATATAACAAATTGACCTTAGCCAACAGGTTTGGTCTCTGCTGGTCAACTTATAAGCGGATTTTTTTTCAATAAATATATGTTGGGCTTTTTGTATCCCTGGTTTCCCATCCGCAGAGTCAGCCAACCGCAGGTGGAAACTATTTTCCATCAGCGGCTGGGAATCTGGAGTCGCGAATCTGCGGGTGGCGGTCCACAGAATTGGAGGGACAGTTTATGTTGTGCCTGGACGTCTGACCGTGAGGGAGGTCCATGCCCCGCGCCGCGTTGCTCGAAGGTCAGTTGCAGGTCATGTTCAAATGTTTCTTTTAGGATAGATTTAGGGATTGCCCCTGAGAAAGGAATCGGTCCCCCGGAATAGATTGGTCTCTTCCCACAGTTCCCCGCCCCCACACTCAGAAAGCCTTTGCAACTGCTTCACCGGAGACCTCCCACAACCTCAAAGAAGAAAGAACCAGAGTGTCCTTCCACGCGTGACCGGTTAGAGGAGATGGGGTACATAGATAGGGCGGGGCATTGCTCAGCCCCCAGAAAAGATGAAATCCTGCCATTTG